AAATTATCATAAAAAAAATATTAATGCTAACACCATCACCATGAAATGGGTACCACTCTCCATCAATAAGTCTGAAGAAATAGAGAAGCAGGCAAACGAGATTGCCGAGCTGTATCGTGTCCTCTTTCTTCAATTAAAACTTGAGAAACAACAAGAAATTCATGGGCTGCTGCGAAGTCAAAAGGAGTTGTCTGTTGCTCCCAATTCCGTTAAATCAAGCATTGATAAGATGGGAGTCATTACAAAGCTTGGAAAGGCGCTGCAAGAAAGAATTAAGGAGATTGATCAGCTACGATCTACAGATACTCCTCAAGGTATGTATTATCAGTTTCTAATCAAACCAACCTTTGTTCCTGAAGAGTTTTCCAACAAAATCCTTGAAATTCGGTCTTCCTTTGAACAATTATTGGAGAACTATCCCATCAAAACCATCTCCAAGATTGATGAATTAAAGAATGCTTTGTTCTCGGTGCAACAACAGAATCCGGTGGAATCTTGTGAGGAAATAACAGAGGAAAACAACCCGTTCTCTGCGTCCACAAAAAGTAATGCGACCTCAGGACGTGCCACTGCCTCTGAGGAGAAAAAAGCCTTAAAACAAGAAGATCCTTCGAAGCAAACCAAACAGTCCTCAGAAAAGAACAAACCAAAGAAGGTGAAACCCATTTATTCATGGGAGAAAGGAGCACAAGCTTCAACCAGCAGCAAAAAGATGGAATCTTCTTCGATCGAACTACCTCATCAGATGGATCAAAGCTCCTTCAGCGAACAAATGAGCAAAGTCGGAAAGTTTATGGAGGAGCAACTGGCCAGACAAGTTTCACCAAAACGAGATAGCTCTCCAAGAAGGTTCGGAAAAACAAAGGAAAGCAAGTATTCCGTTCATGCACCTCTCTCTCCAACTCTGAGCAGAAGTCTACGTTTGGAGATTGAAATGAATGAAGAAGAATTCGCCAAATTGAAGATAAGGAGAAATATGCAAGAGAGGCCAAGATCAAGCAGTCCTCGTTTTCAAGCTCCAAACAGATCTAGATCATCCTCAATGCTCTCCATTGGAGACCTTGCACGCTCTGCTGATTCATTTTCTTCTTCTTCTTCAAGTGCGGGCAAATCAAGATATCCGTTTTTGCAAAAGGGTAAGGGAAGACTTGCCTCAGATGGCAACCCATTCCTCAAAATTTACTCATCACCACAACTGTTGTACAATACCTCCTATATTCTTTCTGGAGCTGACATAAGCCCTTCAGCAATAGAGGGCTTGTCAGAGGTTCAGAAAGCCAACATGAATTCAGCTCTACAAACTCCGGGCTATACTGTCGCAGATATCGAAGGCCTTTATATCACCACTGCTTGCCCTTATTCAGATCCAAAAGAAAATTTTTTCAGACCCTCAGACAAATCAAAGTGGGTCACCGGTAAGGATTTTATAACTTCAGTAGGAAAAGTAGAGGAATTCACTAGAGACAAATCTCTTCCTCTGTTCATCAATAATGGACTTGCATATGAAAGTTCGAATCCAGCTCTGGTACAACAGAAGCTTAGATCATCAGAAAAGACCAAAATGATGTCACCAAAAGGTTTTGTTTCCATGTTCGGTAATAGCGGTTGTGACAACATTGATAAGCAATACAGCTTGGGATTTACCAGTCCAGCTCGAGGGTCACTCCATTCCTTCTCGGCTCCACTCCCAACCAACATCAAAGGTCAGTCGAGATCTCCGGTACAATTAAGACCACTTTCAGGTACTTCTTCCAGTGCCGCTATCAATCTAATTTCCAGAAATATGGCTTCGCCTAAATCATCTCCAAGACTCTCCAATAAATTGTTGTAAGAGACTATTCGCTAGGATTGAATCATGCTAGCTTGCATCTAGTTGATGGATCCATAGCAGTATCTGTAGGTTGGATCTTTAAATCTATTTTCGTTTTGTACGCTTCTTGATGTAGTCCTGCACCTCAACAAACAAAGTTCAAAAACCGTCTTTACACCCTTAAATAACTTGTCGTCCTTTCTCTGCTGGAACATTTTTCGCAAATCATCTCTCTTGTCAATATCCATACAGCAACTGACGCAATGTTCATACGAAGAGCAACATTGATTGTTAGTATTACAGGTTGAACAAGAATATCTCTCCACGGGAGGAAGACCATCCTTTTTGGCTTGTTCTGGGTTGATGTCTGTTCTGCAACAGTGGGTCTTTGGATCAACATGCATGATACTGCAAATATATCCTCTAGAGTCGGTAATATAATCAGCTCCTTGGACAGTGTTTCTGCATTTGATATGTTTTGAAGGATCTCTTGTGAATTGGAAATTTACTGCCTCTTCCTCTGTTACTTGCTCATCAATTTTTGAATTCATCACGCCCTTTACAACATCCCCAACAGTTAATTCAATTTTCTCATCATAAAATCCGTCAATAATATCGGTTTTGTGATTAAATTTTCGTGAATCAACTTGTTGAACGTTCTGTGTTTTGTTTGTCTCAGATTGTTGTGAATCACCCAACGATGTTTGCTTTTGAATAGAGGGCTTCTCTTCCTCATTATTATTTGATGAGGCATGATCCGATTGTTTTTCAACATCTTTTGTGTTGCATCATAAATTCTTTCGGTATTCTTTTGATTATTCGGAGGTGGATGTAAAATACCGTGATGATGTTGTCCACTTGTATTCGCGTTCGCAATAATCATTTGTGTCTTGCTTGAATAATATTTAATATAGAGAATGAGCGTTAGAGAGGAAAACAACGCCAACAAAACAATGAAATACAAGGCATATCGGGGATGCATGATTGTTGTTGAATGAACGCAATTTTTTTGAGCTCTCTTTGTTAGGTTATTAATAGGATTTACTTTTCGCAAGTTCGTCTTGTGAAAAATCAAGGCTTATTGTTTTGAGTGGGGTTTGTCATTACATTATCATGATCATCCCCATTTTCATTCTCGATTATATTGGTCCGTGTGATCACTGGGTAACATTGTCGTCATCGTCGTAGTGGTGTCACTTGTTGCTTGAGAGGGCATTAGAGGTGTCAGTAACAAATTCTCAATTTCGCATGGACATAAATTCATAAACATCACAGAGCCACTTTCACCAATCACACAATGGAAAATTGGAATTTGGTTGAAGCGTGCACCTTGTTCGCTCACTTTGAAAATATCATTAATGGTAGGAACAGTGCTGTTGGAAAAAGAAGTTACAATAATAATCATGGAAGGAGAGTCATTAAGGCTGACACCAGGTTTCCATACGTCGAACATGATTGGTTCAAATGCTTTTATAGTGCCCTCAGTGCTGTGTGTTGAAAAATCCATCATATCGGTTGATGAAGAGGAGTCTGCTGATGTTGTTGTGTTCATCACATCGCGCATAGGAGAAGAATAACTGCATAATCCACACTTGATAATATTCAGAGTGTTAAATAATTGTTGTTGTTCCAATAATTGTTCATCCTTCAATTCAAGATTGTAAATGAGAGGTGAAATAGCATCATGAAACTCGTCGTTCGCTGTTTGCTGTGAAAACCATTCAAACGTACTCCACAATACTCGAGAATTAGCTTTGTTTTGTTGCTTTGAAGTGATTACCTTTGGAGTATCAAAGGATTGCAGTTGAGGTTTCTCCAAATTTTCCGTATTGTCTATTTTTCGTTTCTTTTTTCATTCTCTGTGTTGGATGTTTGTGGTGGCAGCAACTGATCCTCTCCAGAGATGTCTTCTTCATGCGTTGTATCAATAATATTATTCTTCAATTCTTCTTTTTGTTTTTATACTTGATTTGTCTTTCAAGCTGTTTCTTTTCTTTTTTCCTCCCTATCTTTATCATGTCGTTGAATGGAAAATCCTAATTTCTTGAGATAGGAATATGCTAGAAATGAATTGATCAAATCCTCAGGATTCCTAAAAAAATGTTTTGAAATTGATGAATGTCTAATAAATAAAGCAAATGCTTCCTGAACAGAGGCAACCAAATATCCAACACGAGCCTCAATAACTTTTTTTCCTGAATTTCCAAATGGCACAATTGATAGGGTTCTTTCTCAACAATTAAAATAAGAGATCCAACATCTATTAAATAGAGGGCTTCTTCAATATGCAAGAAACGAAAAGCATTTTCTGAATCTTGTCTAATGATCAGTTTTTCATCGAGACCCTCAACATAAACAGTTGGATTCTTTCGTATTCGCTCGCAAAGATTTTCTTTTCGGATAGTAAATCCCATATCAGAGCCAATTTTACCTTTCATTTGAATAGTTTTCACTGCATTTTCCTCGGGAATAAATTCTCCAATTGAAATATCTTTTCTAGCAATTTTTCCAATAGTAATAATTTGAGTGGCCATTACGTTCATTATTGTGCAATTGAATAATAATCAATGAAATATGATGTGGCCCATTCAAATTGTACCAATTCGTTCGTTATTTTGAAATATTGATGTATCGTGATTATGTACCTACTCTCTTCTTTGTCGATCTACCTTTAACAATTGAAACAAAATATTCTTTCTTTCATTTATCATTTGGTTGATTTGTTCTTGTGAAGGGTAGATTTTTGATCGAGTTTCTCTCCGAATCTTGGAAAGGGCAATCTTTCTTCATGTTTTGATATGGATGATGATGAAACTGTCATTTGAGATTGAGTGTTTTGATCCGAGTTTTTCTCTTCTCTTTCCTCTTTGTTGTACTCGTATTGGTAACGAGACTTGAATCCGAATGCTGAATTTCAGCTTTACTTTTGTTCTCTTCTTCTTGATGATGGTTTGACATTTTTGAGATGAGGTGTTGATTCTTGGAGAGGAGTGGGTGAAACCAACATCATCTCACTTTATCGACGTGCAGGTGTAGTGATGCGAATATATATGAAGAGCCTTCAATACAACCACAAGAACGCGTTCAATTCTAAATGCTTGTTCAGTCGTGTTGTGCACTGAACCCAAATACACTCCTTCCAGGCATTGTAAAAACAAAAGATGGTTGACCAATAGATTTTGAAAATCGTTTGTTGAAAAAAAATACGCCAAAAAGGTTTGTATCACTCGCCCATCGTGCAGCGTGTAATTGTTCTGAACAAATTTCTTCTTTCAAACATTCCTTTACATCATCAACAACTCCTAAACCGAATAGATGGTCCAAAACAGATGTTATAGAGTCCACAGCAAGGTCTCCTTGCCACCAAGACGTCCATTCGAAAAGGAACGTATGGATAGAGAATTGAAGATGTGCGGTAAATATGGTTTGAAGAACAAGCAAGAAATCTGGAGACTCCAATACTATCTTGCTCGTGCTCGTAAGACTGCTAGACACTTGCTCACTTTGCCAGAAGATGATATGAAGAGACAATTCGAAGGTGCTGCTTTGTTGAGAAGAATGACCAGATTGGGTCTTTTGGATGAAAGCAAGCAACAACTCGATTACATCTTGTCCTTGAAGACAGAGGACTTGTTGGAAAGAAGATTGCAAACCGTCGTTCAAAAGTTGGGTTTGTCAAAGTCCATCCACCATGCTCGTCAACTTATTTTCCAAAGACACATCCGTGTTGGTAAGCAAACTGTTAACGTTCCTTCATTCATTGTCAGAGTCGATTCTGAGAAGCACATCAACATGTCACCTTTCTCTGCTTTGGTCCAAGGAGGAAAGCCAGGTAGAATGACCAGAAAGAAGCTCAAGAGCCAAAAGAGCGAATAAATCTCCACCAATAAATAATTAAATTTAATTCAAAAGTCGAGTCTACGTAAGAACCAGACTAGTTCGTCTTTTTAATAATGTCATTGTTGAAGCTTTTGATGATCTCAGGATCCACTGTGTAACTAAGGAAATGATTTTTGTCCTCATAAAAGTAAGTGATGGGTTTCAAATTGTGGTTCACTACCACTTGCTCGGTTTCAAAGTCCACCAAATGATCATCCTTAGATCCAAATTGGATAATGGTTGGGCAATTCTCTTTCATTGATTTCCAATTCCATTCTCTGTTGTAATAGCCACTCCTCCTTTCATTTTCATCTCCCATGTCTGTGACACAAGCAGACACTAATATACATGCATGGAGAGGGTGTTTCTCGATATATCTCATTGCACACTCCGCTTGAATGGGGTTTTCGAGAGTGTCACTCTTATGCATAAGTCAATTATAATTTTTAGACCTACCTCCCGAGCTATGTCCTATCAACACCAATTTGCAGTGTTCTTTACCTTCATAGGGCTTTAATTGCTGTTCCACAAATGGAATCCACATAGATTCTCTTGCCACATAGGGATCAGGCATATCCTTACAAATCACTGATTGCATTGTCACAAAGATAATAATTATGAATAATTTCAATTCATCACTCGCTGGTTCATCACTCCCGAACACATACCAGTAACTTTCCGAGAAATATCATTCTCGAACAGCTGTTCAATTTTATCTTTGCAATCACTATACCAATTCGAATCCAAAATATCTTCACAACCATTTCCTGGCAGAATCATGACCACAAAATGATCCAATGTTGTATCGCTACTTTTGTCCTCCGCTCTATTCAGAGATGTCA